ATAGTGTATGACCAGATTATCAGAGGTCTTTGGGACCCACTCTCGTATACACATAGGCTTTGGGCCGTGTACTAGGGTGATTAGCCTTTGGGGCAGCTCTGCGTACGTATGACCAGATTATCAGATTATCAGCTATCAGATTATCAGATTTGAATGGCTTTGCCTTGTACATTGAGATTACTCTGTACATGAGTAAGGCTATTCATTGGGTACTCTTTTTGGTGTGATTTTCAGTATTTATTCTATTATCAGATTTCAGATTATGGAATTCAGTTAATTCAGTTTTCAGAATAAAGCTTTCAGCTTATAGTATTAAGGCAGCAATATTTCATAATTTTTCATGGATATCAGAGTATTTATAGTCATTATGTTATACAGTTGCCTTTCTAGAATTATGTCCAAGAAATTATGATATGATCATGTATACTTTTAAAAGTGTTACTATTTTTTTAGAAGTTCTTATCGTTAAATAGTGCAAGAATTTTCAGAAAATAGCATAAATGGAAAAGTTTATTTATTTTCAACTATCCACTCACTGAGTTATAAACTCACATCTTTTTACCATGTTTTCCTATCAGGAGAAGGTCGATTTTGAGATATTTGGGAAAGCCTGCTGAAGCAAAAGAGACCGTTTCATAAGTATGTAATGAATAGTTGGGAAACTTATGTTTATTAAGTAATTGTCTAATTTTGGGTGACAAGCATATTTGTAGAAGAGTTTGTAAGTGATGTAATACTTGCATGTTGACAGGATGATGTTGTAGAAACACTCAGTTGAATTTTGTTATATTTTGAAATAGTTGTGGTGGTATTAGAGGAAGTGGTGGTTTCCAAAACTTTTGGTTTAAATGTCTATTTGAGATTTTGATGATTTTTCAAGTTGGTTTTGTCCATGTTACAGGGGAAACTCTGTCAAAATTTTCATAGAAATTAGCACAGTCAAATTAGGTCAAGTTTGCCTTGGTGGTGGGTCCGACATTTAGCTGGCATCTACTACCGGCGCACGACACGTGTCGAGTCAATTAGGTTGAGTCGGGACGGGTCGTGTCAAATACGAAACCCTGATAGTCGATCTGATGATGGCCAAAGAACTAAGGTTTCGCAGGTAAGAGCTCACAGTGATCTACAACTCATCATTAATCAAATTAACAAAATTTACCAAGCTAAAAAAGAGCATCTAAGTAGCTACTTTTGAAATATCAAGAAGAAATTGAAGAATTTTGAAATTGCCGAGGTTAAACAAATTCCTAAGACCCATAACTGCCATGTCGACATATTGGACAAACTTGCTACCATTGACGGAATAGATAGATTCAACAGCATCCAATAAGGAGAATTAATACGCAATATTGAAGAAGAAGAGACAGTATCAATGGCTATAAATCCTAAGCCAGCCTGATTGACTAAATTATTATGTTCCTTAAAATAGGGGCTAACTCTATATATCAGGTTGAAGCTCAAAAAGTACAGATAAGGTGAGTCAAATATATGTTACTGGACGATGTCCTCTACAATAGAGGATACATAACCCTGTTCTTGAGATAGCTAAACGAAGATGAGGCACTGTATGCCTTAAAAGAAGTTGAAAGAATATGAAATAACCACACGAAGGAATGATCTCAAGCTCACAAAATTGTAAGGCAGGGGTACTTTTGGCCAATCATAAAATGAGATGTTCTATATTTCGTGAGAAAATATAGCAAATACCAGTGCCTTGCCCCATAATTCAAGCCTCTTCGAAAGAACTCCATTCTGTTGTTAGTCCAAGAACGTTCTCCAAATGGGAGGTAGACTTGATAAGAGATCAATGCCCACTGGAAAAATGGAACTAAATTTGCCATTGTAGCAACGAACTATTTCACCAAAAGTACTAGAGAAATATCTTTCTCCCTGGCTTTTAGGGTAGAAGAGTCCTTTCATTCCGAACTAAATTCTACAACGAGAAAAGCAATCAAAAAGCTTTATGCACCGAATTAGACCTGCCTAAGGAAATAAAGAAATGAAGCTAGCTTAGAGCAACAATATGATAACAACGGGGTGTCAATTACTACAATAAAAAAGTGCACAAATGAGAGTTCGAGGACAGTAACCCAGTGTTAAGAGAAATATTCTTCGTCGAGCTTGACTCTGAGTTGTTATGTCCTAATCGGGAAGGACCTTACAATGTGGCCAAAGTCCTCCCAAGAGGTGTCTATGAGTTAGTGGATATATAAGAAAGACCTTTCATATACCATTGGGATGTAGATTATCTGAAAAAATATTACCAATAGATGTCAAAATGTACTGTTAAATATGGGAGTGCAAATTATTTTAGTAAAGTTCATGCAATATAGTAAATCATACTCAAACTAACCTTGTTTTTATAAACAAATGGACCTTCTCCTTAGCAGCTCAAACTAGGGTTGCAAGTGCTGCAACACATAATCTAAAATTCCAAAGTGAAAATTTAAAGGACTTGCTTCTTAGCAATCCAAACTAAGGTTGCAAGTGCTACAATACTAAGTGAAAAATCCCAAAAGTGGAATTTAAAAGGACCTGGAATTTCAAAGAACCTACTCTTCAACATTCTGAATTAAGGTTGCAAGTGCTGTAACATTTGTCTAAAATCCTAAAGTGGAAATATAAAGGATCATCTCCTCAGTAGTCCAAACTAAGGATGCAAGTACCACAACACTAGTTCAAAAATCCCAAATGTGGAATTTCAAAGGGCATGCTCCTCAATTGTTTGAAGTAAGGTTGCTAGTTCTTCAACACCTAGTTAAACATTCCTAAGTGGAATTTCAGAGGATCTGCTCTTCAGTAGTTCTAAATAAGGTAGCAAGTGCTGAAATACTTAGTCAAAAACCCCAAAAGTAGAACTTCCAATGACTTATTTCTCAGTAGTTCGAATTAAGGTTGCAAGTACTACTACATTTAGTCAAAAATCTCTAAGTGGAATTGTAAAAGATTTGATTTCTCAGTAGTTCGAATTAAGGTTGCAAGTACTACTACATTTAGTCAAAAATCTCTAAGTGGAATTGTAAAAGATTTGCTTCTCAGCAATCCAAACTAAGGTGGCAAATGGTACAACACTTAGTAAAAACTTCTCCAAAATAGAATTTTGATGACTAACTCCTCAGCAATCCGAACTAAGGTTACAAGTGTTTCGACACTTAGAAATTTCCAAAACGAAATTCCAATCTCAGTACAACACTGGAATGAGAAGACTTGCCCACCACATTCAAAAACTAGGTATTAAGTAATATTCTATTTACTTAAATCAATACATTTGAATAACGGCTCACTTGTGAAAATTAATATAACAAAGAAATTTCCATTAAAAGATTTAAAATAGCGAGTTACATAGAAATGATCAAAAGATACAAAGTAAAAAACTAAGTAGTGTGAGGATCAGCTTGGTTTAAGGCATCAATAGTGGAATCTTGGTATTCCTCTGGAGTAGCATTATAAATCATAGTTGCAAGAGAATTTTAGCGAGGTAGCTCTCTGGCAGCCAGTGCTTCATGGAGGAAACCTATATCAAAATCTAGTCTCATCCTCTCGATATGCTTGATCACCTCGACAAAGCTAAGTGTAGAGGCATCCTGCCCAAATGCGCCAAACTTAAAGGATTATTTATATATCTTAATGGCCTTGATCGCCTAGGAGTGCTTCCTTAGCTCTTACCGTTAACTCTTTAGCTTTTGCTTTCTCATCTACTACTTTCTTCTTTTGTTAGTTAGTTTGGGCGTGGACCTTCTCGTCCCATATCTTAGTGACCTCCCACTCCTCCTCGAGGTCAGCTTCCATAAAAAACTTGGCTTCTAGGTTAGCCTCCATATTATGTAGCTTCTCCTTCCATTTCATTTTTTCAGTACCCTTCAGGCTTTCCTAGTCTCTATAAATTGGAAAATTACTAAGGTGTCATCCCTTATCATCACCACCTTCTCCATCATAGCCATCACTTGAAATTATCCTCAAGCATAAATACATGATGGTAAAATGAGTAAAAGCAAATTTACCTTATCCACGATTGACATCAGATGGAGGACAGAACGGTAGCTGTGTAACTCAACTATGATGCAGACTTCGTCCATGGATATCTCTTCTAAAAATTTCTTCTCTCTCATTTCAACTCCTTATCAGTTGGTTGAATCTCTTATGGCAGGAGGCAGAGCAGCAGTCCTATCTCAGGAAGGTGAAGGAGCCAATAGAAAGTTAAGTAAAATGTCTGGACGAGAACCACCCAACATCTCAACATTAGGATGTAGAAGCTCCAGGCGTGCCAGAAGTAAGAGAAGCAGGGACCAAGGTCATAGCCACTCAAGAAGTAGATGCAGGAGGCGATGATGGATGAGGAAATAAAACTAGAGGAAAGTTAGCCTTGGTAAAAGTTAGAGAGCAGGTTTTCCGTGTCAGTGCTGTTTGGCCTCATACCTCAACAAAAGCCTTTCTCTTTCGAGCTTTCTTAACCTTAGCCTCGGTCTACTTTGCCGTCCTTGGATGACTTGTTCCCCAATAGTTCTTTGCTCTGGCATAAAATAAACTAAATTCTCACCAGCTCAGCCTAGACATTGTTTACTTAAAATCACAACAAATTAGATATAAAACTTACTTCAAAGAGGTTGAGGAAAAAAATTACTCGTGAATAAACCTGATTGGAATAAGTTGGAGTCATAAATCAAGGAGCTACACGACCTCTAGCTTTTGCTAAGAACTCGAATTGCCTCCTCCATTTGCTTTGTGTTTGAGGTAATTCTATAAGGATGATTGTTTGCCACAAAAACAAAATGCATAATAAATATTACCACATAAAGGGACGATGATACATTATAAATGAAAAAGATCAAGGTAGGGCTACATAACTTAAGATAATGAATCTGTATGACATCGCCCCTATCGACTTACTCAAATGAAATTGCCACTCTTAAAAAATGTAAAAGAAGTCAACCTTTGACACCGGGTAGGATAGTGATTATCCTATTGGCTTGTTGTAGCAAATGATTCGCAAGAAAAGAACGACAGAAAACGCCCAAAAACCAGAGAAAAGACTCTGAATTCAATTCAATATTATTAATAATGCAGAATGCTGAAAACTAACCCACAAGCTGGGTTAAATAGCTGCGAAATACGAAATTATGGGAAAATTACCAAAAATGACAAAATCCCAAAATTATACCAAAATAAAATATTAAATAAAAGAAGTAAGTTGCCAAAAATTTGGTTCAATTTGAGTTTTCTAACATATAGAAAAAAGGAAACGAAATATTACCATAAATAGTAAAAAATAACTTAAAATTAAATTTTGGAAAGGAAAACAGTGGATTTTTGGGCTCGAAATTGACGTCCATCGAGCATAGCTAGGTGGCCACGACGTGCGCGCCGAAGAGAGCTTTCCGGATTGGGGTCATAATAGCGATTCCGATAACCGTAGCCAAAGTTATGGCCAAATTATCAAAGACGCGTCAAATTCCTCCAATTAAGGAAATAATGGTGATTCACTTTCAATCTTTGCGCGATCCGCCATCTCATGGTATCTCAGCGCAATCATCGTGCTATCTGACAAATCAGCATCACTTGACTCGGATCCTCCTGCATCAGTCGCCCCGGGTTGGAAAGAGCTCGCCCTCGAGTTCACAGTAACTTCATCGGACTCCATAAAACAAGGGCTTAAGTGTTTGACGTTGAAAACGTCAGAGGTCTTCAAATGGCTCGAGAGACGCAATCTGTAAGCATTATCATTGATCTTCTGCAGCACTTCACAAGGTCCAATCTTCCGCTCCTTTAGCTTATTGTATTCCCCAGCTGGAAAACGATCACGAGTTAAT